TAACTACCTGGTCATCTGCATAATGCAGCGTGTATAACGTTTCATCCCCAATAGACAGCCCCATCCCTTTACACTTCTTTTTCCATTGCCTGAGTGCTTCGTCGATATATATATATTAAATAGTATGGGAGATAAACAACAACCTTGCTTCAGTCCTTTTGTTACCTGAAAACCATTAGTAACCTTATTTCCTATTTTAACTTTTGATATTGTGTTGTTATATAGATCTTTAATAGCGTCGATTAGTGAAACGCTGATACTGGTTTTCTCCAATACTTCCCACAATTTCGCAACAGGCACGGTGTCATATGCTTTTGTTAAATCGACTAAAAGTAAATGCACTTCTCGAGATCTCAGTGTTCTTTTCTCGAGTATTTGGGATAAGCAAAAAATACTATCTATTGTGGATCGTCCCGCTCTGAATCCGTTTTGTTCTTCTGATTCAAAAGGACGGTATTCTTCGCATATGCGTTCTTTTATAATTCTCCCATATAATCTGCTAAGCGTACTCGTAACAGTTATACCCCGATAGTTATTGCAATCTTCCTTATTTCCTTTTTTGTGGATAGATGTAATCCATCCTTCTTTCCAACTTTGTGGCACTGGTTCTCCGTGCAAGTGCCTATTGAAAACTTCTCTTAGTATCTCGAATAGTTTGTTGGTTCCATTTTTTATTAACTCTGCATATATCCCCTCTGGGCCCGGAGCACGTCCATTTTTCAACAATGATATAGCTTTTTTAGTTTCTTCGATGTTAATTGTTGGAGGCTCTCCTTGAATCAGGATTTCATGTTGTTCTATGTTTTTGAATTCCGGTCTTTCTTCTACTAACAGTGTTTTATAGTGTTGTTCCCATTTTTCGGGCTCTATGGAGTGTATGGCTATTTGTTCTGTTCTGTTGGATCTGATGTTTTTTATAAATCTCCAGGATTCTCTTGATTTGCGGCCGCCAATATACGTATCTAATTCCTGACATTTTCTCTCCCAGCTTTGATTTTTTGACTCTATTATCGTGGATTTAAATTTATTTACCATTTCTCTATATTCTCTTTTGTGTTCTTGATCCTTTGTTCCCAACCATCTGTGATATAATTTTTGCTTTTGATCTTTCATTTCCTGTAGTTCATCATTCCACCAATTATTTGTCTTTCTGAGTTTGTTTACTCTTATTCCTAATGCTTCTTTGGCCGCTTGATGTATTCCTTTTCTTATTATGCTATGTAACTCTTCTGTTGTTTTATGTTTAAATTCCTGTGGTAGTTGTTGCTCCAATCTTTTTTTATACAATTCTCTAGTACTATCGTTGTCTAAACTTGTTAGATTATACTGTAGTTGTTCACCTTCTGCTGAGTGATTTTGATTTAGATTTTTGTTTTGTTGGTGTTTACCGTTTCCGCTTAGCGGTAGTATCATTTTAGCTTTTACTAGATGGTGGTCACTTCCACATTCGGCTCCTCGAAATACTCTTACGTCATGCACTTTTATTTTAGATTTTTGTTTCATTATTAGGTAATCAATTACTGATCTTAAGTTTCTTGTAGGCTGAGTCCATGTATATGTATGTATTTCCTTATGTTTGAAATACCCATTCATGATCCTTAGTGAGTTGTGTCTACACATTTCTATTAAGTTATTGCCATTATCGTTTGTAGTGTTTTCTCCATATGGTCCTATTGTTTTATCTTTTATTCTTCTACCAGTTCTTGCGTTGAGGTCACCTAGTATAATAGTTTCCCTTGTTTGACCTATTTGAGAGATAGTTTCATCTAGGACTTCATAGTATTTTATTTTTTCTTCTAGGCGTGCATCATCATTCGGACCGTATGTGCCTATTATTGTTATTTTTAATCCTTTCAAGTTGAGGTTGATCTTTATGATTCTTTCATTTATTGCTTGCCAGTTCGATATATTCTTTTTGTATTTCTTCAATATAAGTATTGATACTCCTCTTTTGGCATGTTCTTCCTTATTTACTCCCGTGTGTATATGTATATATCCATCAAGATTTTGGGTTCCTTGTCCTTTTTTCTTTGTTTCTGAGAGTACAGCAAAATCCATTTTATGTTTTTTCATTTCTTGGATAACATCTTCGATTTTATTTCTAATTCCTTGTGTATTCCATGTACCACAAATCAGTGTCCGTTTTCGTTGCCATTGTCGTCGTCCTTTAGTTCCATCCATATCCCGAGGCTTGGTTTCGGTATTTTTAGCATTACTATTTTTTCCAAGAATGAGTTGCTGGCCCATTGCTAAACCCCCTTGCTAGGAGGACCAGAATTTTCTGTCGGGGTTTATTCCCTTAGCCTATAAATAACTCACCCCGCTGGCAGACGTGTTAGCGAGTGGGGGGGGGATTAGGTAAGGAATTTGGAGTTTAGGTAGGATAATACTAGGGTTTGGGCCTGGTTTCACCTAAATAGGGAGTGGAGGAAAAACCAGGAGCTCGCGTGGGCAGGGACGCTACCTCCCTGAAGTAAGTCTACCCTCTATCGGGACCATAAAGGGGTACCTACCCGCTACCTTTCAGACAGACAGACAGACATGGTCATTACTAAGAAAATTAGGGAGTGGTGTCCGTACGAAACGCCGTGAGGCAGCCGTAAAGCCAGATGCCATAGCATTACATATAGTAAAAACATCCAGAGCACCAAAGGATAAAGCACACACCATCTACGTAAAGAGAGAACTTAAAACTTTAAAACTGTAGCCACAGAAACGAAGCATTCCCTCCCCTTCACCAGCGAAGACATATCAGAGGCTCTAAAAGACGTTAAGCCAGCAAAAGCACCAGGATTTGATAATATTCACCCTGAATTCCTACTAAATTGTGGCAAGTATACAAAAGTTTGGTTAGCTCGATTTTTAACAGACATCATGGAAATTGGAAATATCCCACAAGAACTAAAGCGCTCTAAGATAATAGCCATACCAAAGCCAGGCAAACCCGCTAACAACCCAAAAAACTACAGACCAATTGCGCTTCTCTCTGCCATCTACAAACTATTAGAGAGGCTTATATATAATAGAATTAGTTCAGAACTGTTCCAGGTGATCCCAGTCGAACAAGCGGGTTTTCGACCAGAACGAAGCTGCGCGGACCAGGTCATGTCACTCACCACCTACATCGAAGCGGGTTTCCAAAGAAGACTTAAAACTTCAGCGGCATTTATTGATCTCTCGGCAGCTTACGATACAGTATGGAGAGAGGGCCTTATATACAAAATTCTCCGTGCAATCCCCTGTAAACAAATAGCACGTTTAATAGATAGCATGCTCAACGACCGAATGTTTCAAGTAGTGATGGGCACAGATATCAGCCCACCAAAGAAACTTAAGAATGGCCTACCACAGGGGTTAGTGTTCTCTCCATTACTATTTAGCTTATATTTAGCAGATATGCCAGAAACACAATCAAGAAAGTTCGGATACGCCGATGACTGGGCCCTCACTATACGATGCAGAACACTAGAAACATCTGAAGAAGTTCTGACGGCAGACTTATATAAATTGAGCAAATATTTTCGCAAGTTGCGGCTTCAACCAAATGCATCCAAAACATAAGTAAGTTGCTTTCACCTGAACAATAAACTTGCTGGAAAGGAACTCAACATACGATTTGAAAATACCACACTTTCCCACAACAAAACACCGAAGTACCTGGGCGTAACACTAGACAGAACGCTATCATTTAAAGAGCATTTAACAAAAACTGCCAAAAAGTTGAGTACAAGAAATAACATTATACAGAAGCTCTGCGGTACCACCTGCGGAGCATCGGCTTTCACTCTCCGCTCTACTGCTTTAGCCCTTGTTTTCTCGACCGCTGAATATTATGCCCCAGTTTGGCTACACAGTCCACACGTAAAAAAGGTTGACACTCAGCTGCACAGCACTATGAGGATGATAGCTGGTACAATTAAATCAACTCCCAGCCAATGGCTTCCAGTATTAAGTCACATTCCACCTCCACATTTACGACGAGTTGACGCACTTACATATGAATACAAACAGATCATGAACAATATAAACCTGCCGATCCACCAAGATACCGAGGATGCACGAAATACCCGTCTACGTTCTAGAAAACCACCAATGAAAACGGCAAGAATGATACATGAGGAGTTCAACATCATAAATGCACGGTCCCAAGAATGGAATGCATGGCAAAATAACATGCCCTGTATTACCCACAAGCCACCAGGTTTTGATCTTCCACGTAAAACATGGTCCACTCTAAACAGGATCCGAACCAGACATGGCAGATGTGCATACATGCTACATAAATGGGGAAAGAATCCGTCTCCTCAATGTGACTGTGGGAAGAACCAAATGATCGACCACATTATTAAAGAGTGTCCCTCAAGATCGTACAACGGTAGCCCTGAAGACTTCCTGTTTGCAACTTCAGAGTCAATTGATTATGTTAATACACTTGATGTTTGTTTGTAACTATTTAAAGTTTGTCATATACCTATATTACTAGTGTTTGTAATTTTGTTCTAAATGTGTTGTAATTGCCGTTGCAATCGGTCCCTAACAGTTCAGTTATTCGAGGTAAATAACTATAACAAACACAATTAAATAAATCTAGAATTTTTAAGAAGTCTTTGGAAAATCCCGAAATATCTATTATTGTCTGGAATGTTAGAAAATGTATATAAACAGAGCAAGTCGACAGTTTAAGAACAGCAGTGTTTGAGTTCTTAAAGTTTACCGTTGTCAGTCGGTTAAAATATTGTAAACAAGTTGGTGTTGCATAAAGATATTTTAAATAAGCATAACAATATTTATTGGCTATTTGTGTCATAACCTACAAAAGATTAATCATAATAAAAAAAACGCATATCAGTTTTGAATTAAATTTGTAACTGAATATAATTTAAGTTTGTTACATTTTAGGAAACTATTACGACAGCCATTAGCTGCCAAGTTCTACACGTGTAAAATACATCTTCGTATTTCGAAATTTGTGAAGTTAACATTTTAAGCTGGTACATTACCTTGAGGCGGTATACTTCCCCCTGAGACTTCTCAAGTTTTTCTTGTAAAGCTGTTGCCTCTTGTCGTGCTCTTTCGCTGTCTGCCTGGGTCACTCTTAGCTCAGCTTGACATCTTCTGAGGTCAGAGGAAGTCTTGTCAGCTCTCTCTTGCATTCTATAAGTAACATATTTATGTATACAAAAATACTTAATTCAATTACAATTTTTTTTATATTATTAACAATTTTAATTCTTAAAGAAATTCATAAAAATATTGTAAAATTACTATTATAGAATTGTTGTAGCTAATTATTTTATGTACAATATGTACGATAAACGTTCTTGTTCTTATTATGCCTTAAGAATGTTGGTAATGATCAATATTTGTCTTATTCCTTGAAAATTTCAACTGACATGTGTTCGCCTCACATAATATGTTTTAGATATTTTTATTTTTTAAATTTTATTGACATTTAAAACTCCTTTTCCTTTCACATTCTTCTTAACATCGACATTTGAGACTCAACTTACCGAGCATATTCTCAGCATTCCTTTGTAAGCCCGTAGATTAAATATTTCTAATATATTTCTTACTACTACTTACTAGCGAGAGATTGTTGGAGGCAAATTCTGGGGGAGAACCAAGTCCGACTTTAATGTGTGTCCAAACCTTTATTTAGATAAGGCGCAGTATATGTAGAATCTCAGAAATAATAAGCATGCTACACAAGCAGAGAATACGGCCCTAGGCTAAGCAAATAAGACGCAAATCATGATAATAGACTGGTGGTCGAGGGGTACTACCTCAGATTACTCACTACAGATAAAGGAAGGTACGTAATTAAACTAAAACTATTAAATACCATACCATGTTAAAATAGCATGTTAAACGTGGTCAATTCAAGAAAAATAGATGGGTTCTAGATGTGTGTTTACAGAAAAATGTTGCAAATATCATACACAGACCGGTTTTAATATATGGGGCTGAAACGTAGACCTTATCTTAACATGAAAGACTTCTAGGTATTTTTGAGAGAAAAATTCTTGGAAAGATTTCGTAAGAGGCCGTAAATGAAAATGAGATATGGCGTCGAAGATACAACTTTGAACTATATATACACTGATCCAGATATTGTATAATTCGTTAAAGTGCAGAGACTTAGATGGACTGGACATATTGCTAGGATGTTAGATCACGAATATACAAAGAGAATAACATCTTCAAAACCAGAGGGAAAGAAGAACTACAGATTCTAAGGGTCAGAAGATGGAGGAAAGTTGCCATTAATTGACAGGAGTGGCGACTTCTTTGTGAGCAGGGCAAAATCCACAAGGAATTGTCAAGCCACTCATGATGATGATGATCGTACAAAAAACATTTCATGACTATTTCCATTATAAATCAACTAAAGTTCAACACAAGACAACTAAAGTTCAACAAAACTTAATCAGTACTACATTACATACTTTATACATTTGGCGAAAGGCCCCTGAAAAACTTATGGTGTACGATAAAATTAACGGCAACAGGGGAGTATTAAACAGACAAATAGTAAATAGGCTCCCATTTCTTTAATTCACCGTTGATAGGTGCTGTGCAGTTAGATCTATTACAAAATATTTTGCGGAATCTAGTAGCCAATGTAACTGTCACAGGTATGTACTTGCACGATGAGGCATTACTACATTTCTCAGTAGACTGTTAGTATCGTCAATATTTTATGGAAATATCTCATCCGTAGCCGCCTAGATCACCTGATTATAACCCTATCGATCATTCGAATGGAGTCGATTGAAAGAAATCGTTTATCAAGAAAATATAAATACATGACAAAAAATAATTGGCAAAACAAATGATTAATTCTGGTCACAGTATTAGAAATGATCCCTTAACACTCAGAAGGTCAATTGGACATTTAATGGTCCGACAAAGACGTTGTTTAGAAACAGATACATTTCACTTTAAAATTTTTGTATGAATTTCATAAAATTTTACCTTTAGTTTTCATTACCTCCTGTACATTTTACTTGTTTTAAGTAATTGCAGACAATTCTCTTATGTCCTAAAATTTGCTTAAACCTGTGAATACATTCTGTTATTGTTAATATTGTAACGATGTTTTAGAGTTATTTAAAATAATTTCTACCTTTCTCTTTTTCCTTTCCTTCAAATTCTGGAAATTGGCTACTGGGGGTATTATTTAAAATATATAGCACTACTTGTGGTAGTATTTATATTTATAAATTAAAACTTTGTTCGAAAATATTCAATTTTTGCGTGAATAGTTCATCATCATCCAGTCTTCATTTATCACGTCCACTGCTGGACTTTCTTAAACTTCTCCATTTTTTACGATTTTGTGCTTTTTATTACCGATTTTTGGAATACGCCTGATGTTTTTAGCCCAACGTGTAAGGTCATCCTCTATTAAACTACGTTTGTCTGCCTTTTAATGCTAATTGGTATGTGTGCCTCGCAGTTTCCAACGGCTGCCCAAGCTAAAGTAATTCGTCTTTGGATTTCGCATGTTTGCTTATTACTGCTGATTCTTATTTCATTATCCAAATACGTATATTTCTCCACCATTTCTATCAATTTGTCTTTAATAGATAAATGGTTATAAGGTACCATATTTGTCATAAACTTAATTATGCTCAAGTTCATTATGAGGACCACCTTGGAACATACAAAGTCCAATTCATTTAACATATCTGTGTCTTCTCCTAATTTATTTGTGATAAAGACAATGTCGTCTGCAAAACGGAGATAGTTAAGCTTTTGGGCACCTATTGTTACTGCTCTGTGGACCCCATTGACCATCTTAACGGCATACTCTAATGCCGTTAAATGATTTCGGTGACAATGTATCTCCTTGCCTTATCCCACGTTTTTTTTTATTGGTCGGGTTTTATCGTGTATCTTAACAGTCATAGTGGCATTTTTGTAAATAAGTTCACTATACCTATGGTCAATCCTGCTGTCATTCATTGCTTCTGTAAGGCTGTCTATTTTGATCGTGTCGAACGCTTTATGAAAATCTATAAAAGTAAGGACAAGAGGTTTGTTGTAGTCTATAGATTTTTCAATCTTTACTATATGAATGTGATCATTGGTACCGTAATTTGAACGAAATCCAGCCTTCCCTCTCAGTTGGTAGAGATCTAATTTTTTCTAAAATATTAATGTCACTAGACATTATATGTATCAAGAATACTTGAATCACGTATTTCAGAAACCCCAAAAATCACAAATCTATAAAATTACAGTTTTCTGTAATTTTTGGTAGTATATAGGTATACGCACTTAACACGAAACAGAAACCCTAAAACTCACTAAATTTACATACATTTGTCACTAGTTGAAAATTTCATGTATTGCAGAAACACCAAAACTCCAGGAATTTTCTTCTTCTTTGGGTGCCGTCTTCAATGAAGGTTGGCGATAACCTCAGCAAAATTATTTCTGTCCCTGGCTTTTCTTATTAAAGATTGAGAATCCAAACCAGTCCACTCACGAATGTTCTTCAACCAGGACGCCTGCCGTCTACCAGGACCACGTTTTCCTTCTACCTTCCCCTCTATAAGAAGCTGCAGTAGCTGGTATTTCCCATTTCTGTATATGTGTCCCAAATATGAGGTTTTCCGTGTTTTCATTATTTTTAAGAGTTCTCTGTCGGTACCCATCTTGTGTAGGACCTGCTCGTTGCTCATATGCGCTGTCCAGGGGACTTTCAGCATCCTTCGAAATAACCACATTTCAAAACTTTCCAAACGCCTGTTTGTGAGTGAGTTGAGTGAGTTGATTTTGAAGGTACAGGCCTCCATTCCATATAGTAAGGTGCTGTAAACGTAACATTTCAGCATTCGGTATCGGATTTTGAGATTGACTGTTTGAGACGTAAACATTTGTTTCATTTTTAAAAAGACATTTCTTGCTTGTTCAATTCGCGATTTTATTTCTATGTCTGGATCTATATCTTTCGTTATCCAGCACCCTAGATATCGAAATTTCTCGACATTTTCAATAATGTTACCATTCACGTTTAAAGCCATGGGTGGATGGATGGATGTTTTGGAGACAATCATTGTTTTTGTTTTCTTGACGTTAGTCTTGACGTGCCAGGAATTTTGGCGTTTCTAAAATATATTATTTACTCTTACTATTGACACCTGCTCTACATGTTAAGAGTTAGAAACTTAAATAAAAAGTAAATTCTTAAATGAAACAGCAAAAATAGTGGCACTGGCAGAAAAAACTGTTCATAAGAAAGGGGCAAACAAATTTTATAACAAACTTAAAACCATTTCAGAACTTTGTAAAGTAGATGATAATGTACAGTATTGTGAGAATTAATGGAATCATTGTGACATTTTTCAGTATTCACAGATGGCAACACTGTCCACACATTTACAACTGACCAAGCACTGAAAACATAACCATACTTTTCTCTGACTTTTATTTGAGGGTGTTTTAGGACATTTCCCACTAAGTTTGTGTTGTTTTGTACTATTTTGTGTTGTTTTCGGTAATTAGTTAGTTTATTTCGTTTAATTCTATCATGGATATTACGTGTAAAAAGCGTGAAAATATTATCGCGTTAAGTGAACAAACTTGTATGTCACAAAGAAAAATCGCAAGAACGTGTGAAGTGGGTCAGGAGGGTAGTAAGCAAGATTTTGAAGCGTAAACAGGAAACGGGATCAATGGATGTGAAAAGGTTAGGAAAATGCGGAAGAAAGAGAAAAACAACACCAGCAGACGAAAGATTTGTACTTCGAAACAACAAATTGGATCCAAGAAAAACCAGCCAAGAGTTTCAACAAGATCTAGCAGCATCAGGTGTAGTGATTTATGGCTCAACTGTTCGGAAAAGACTTTTGTAGGGGGCAATGCGTACACAGGAAAAACAGTTTCTAACGGAACGAAAATTTATGGGGCCAGACTGCACAAAATCGACTGTACTACAAAAATAAAAATTATAAAAGCGGTCATTCAGGTTTGGTTTCGAGATAAAACGGTATCTGAGAATAGTTAAAAGCTCGTAAAATCTATGCCAAAATGGGTAAAAGCAGGAAAAGGGGGGTATATTTCCTACTAAATGATGTAAGTGTACCTTAATAGTTTTGTCAAAATACAACTTTTTTTAAATAAATTGTTTTATCATTAAAACAGCGTATAATTCCATTAATTCGCACAGTACTGTATATGTATTCATAATCTAAAAGATGATAAGGTAACATTCTATGTATATCATCAGGGAACAGGAACTAAAGGGCCTAATGAAGTTGTATCATTTTTATTACATTTTCTTTAAACAACAATCCAGAATTTAAAAATATTAACCATTTTCACTTCTTTTCTTATGCATGTGCTGCCCAAAACAAGAACCATAAAATAGTTAGACTTTTTTCTGCATTAGTTTCAACCAATAGATTCAAAAAGATTGAACAATATTATCCCACATGGGGACATTCATTTCTACCGTATGATCGGGATTTTTCCGTTCATTAAAGGAAATTAAAAAATCAGACAAGATTTACACGTTAAAAGAGCATTTACTGTAGTTTTAAACCAATTTACTGTAGTTTTGTCAAATACTGATAACATATTGAACTTTAAAGAATGGTGGCCCACGTGTTTTAAAATGACGATGTTCTCCAATGAATCTTTGGGCAGAAATATTCCAAGAGATCAAAAAATTGCTTTTAAAATATCCAACTTTCGACACTTTATTCATTCGAGTGATCACGATGGAATTGTTATTACAAAAGAGTACATAGATGGCTTGATAGATCATTCTTTTCGGCTACAAAATAGCAACAAGGATGTTATTAATTTACCTATAAGAAAACCATACATTAAAGGACATATTCCTATAAATATTAAGAAGATGCAAGACTTGAGAAAACTGGAAAAGTATCTACCAGATAATGAAGAAGTCAAGGACTTTTACGGAGAAATTTTTAATTTGCCAACATGCGAGGGAGATTCAAATAAAATAATACAACCACATGAGTGATTACTACTGATATATTATTCTGTATGCCTATATTTATGAATAAAAAATGTTTATATAAAATATGTTATCTTATTTTTACATTCTTGAAAAATGTGTATAAATCAAAAACCCCAAAAATCCACAAAGGTAAAAAAAAACATATAAAAAGCTAAAATTCACCACTTTTTTATGCAAACTGATTAAAACACATTAATCTCATGATTTTATTACAGAAACACAACAGGTTTTTTAAAATATTTCATGAAATAAGGTTTTTGTCTAATTTCTCAACATTTTATAAAAATGCAATTATGGGATTTCTGAAATATGTAATTTACTTACATTTTTTAAATCTAAGGTTCACTTTGACAAACTTTTAATTCATAGTTAAAATTTTTGTAATAAAAAATTAAGTAATCGTGTAATTTTAATATAATGGAAAATGAAAATATTGAAAAATGAAAATCTTCTACAATGTGGTCACGATTTTTAAAGTTACGTGCCTTTCTGAAAAAAAAAAACAAGCGGAGGATATACTGCAAAGAAGTCTAAAGTTTTCACTAAAGACGAGTTTGATAAATTTTTGTTTGAAACGCCAGATAAGTTGTATTTAGGAATAAAATTAAAAAAATTTATATTGCAAAGCATGTAGTATACTCTACTAAATTATAAAAATATTTCAGATTGTTTTGTTAACTGGGGTTACCGGCGCCTGTCGATGCGACGAAATTGAGGTTGAAGAAAATGTAATAATTATCAAAATCCCAGACAGTAAAACACGACAAATTAGATCTTTTACGATAATTGGTCAAAACTAGATTAAACTGTATAAAAAGTATGCATCACGGCGGCCTGAAAATTTCACAGAAAACCGATTTTTTATCAAGTATCAAAATGAAAAGTGTTACCGAAGCGTCATGGGAATACATTCGATTAGCGAAGTAGCCTAAAAAGTAGCTAGTTATTTAAATTTAAACGATGCAAGCGCATACACGGGTCACTTTTTACGACGAACTTCAGCAACACTTTTAATTGATGGAGGCGGAAATCTAGAATGCCTCAAACGACATGGGGGCTGGAAATCAAGCACAGTTGCCGAACGATCTATAGAGGATTCAATAAGAAATAAGAACGATAATGCTAAAAAATTATAAGCCCTCATGATTCGCCAACATTGGGAATGATTGCTGAAAGTTGTTCTCGACTATCAGTATCATCAACAATTACCAATGCGTATCAAGAGTCGGGAACATTTTTGCACGGTTTCAATTTTGAAAATGCCTCATTAACTAATTGTACTTTTATTATTACTATAAATAAAAATAATGTTTAATTGTTGTTAATGACATTTGTATTGTGTGACGTTTCATATTGTTGCCATGACAACATTTTTCCCTCTGCCGTATAGAAATGGGAAAAAAACTGCTGCCGGCCGAGACATCAAACTTTGACAGGATCAAGTTAGATAAGTAATGTCATCATTATTTGACGTTTGAAGAAAAAATAAATTTGCCATATTAAGTGTCCATTTTGCTAATTTGTAAAATTCTTATTAGAGTTTTAAAAACCATAATATAGGGAGTGACATTTTTTCTACGCAGAACTTCTACGAACAAAATGAACTCTTTTTTTTTAATTATGCCAAATTTTTTGCTAGTTTAAACAAACTAATTGATTATTAAAAATAAAATTAAAAAAAAAAAAGAAAAAAAACGAAGATTTGAAAATTGAACATATTTTTTTAAAGTACCCTGTGGTGTATGTTATGATATATTTTAAATAGATGATTTATAAAAAGTATGAATTACCTATCTAATTCGTGAGAGCTGCTGAAAGTGACCCTTCCAAACGAACTAGTGGTAGTGGTCTGTGCTCTTTCGATTTCGCCCCTGAGACGTTCGTTTTCCAGTTCCAATCGGGTCAAACGCTGTCTTGCCGCCTCCCAGTCTGCTCCGCTTCTTCCTACTTCGACGGCGGCCTTATCCAACTCGGCCTTGGATTTACCCAACTCCGACTGAGAACTTTCCAACTTCGCTTCCAAGCGATCTCTGTCATTTTGTGCTCTGTAATTAAATAAAATATATTTTATCGCAATTATCGTATTAATAAACATTACTCAGTAGTATAACATATGTATTAAAAGGTAAATAAACAAAGATTTATATCTGAACGCTAGTTTAGTTATTTAAAATTATATTTAAAAACTATCTACAGGATGTATTAATAAAATTACTAAATTTACCAAACACATGAATCAAATCTCTTCAATTATCTTTAACGCTGTTTTATCGGTACACCAAAACCTAGAGATATTGTTTTCTCTGGTATTTACCGACAAAATGTCTCGAAATTTGGACACGTTATTCAAAATTATGTAGCCTTTAAACTGATGGTTTTACTTTAATTTTTTTGAAAGTTCTTTTTAAATATCGGATTATGTAGTTTAACGTTCTATTATAACCAAACTTTTTACGCCCATGACTTAAAAGAGTTTTTTTTCTGTAATCGTTGATTTTTTTCACATTTCTGTGTCCAGTAATAATAGAGAAAAGCGTCTTCAAACTTTAAAGAAAATTGCTAAAAAATACTTAAATCTAATAGTGAAACGTGTTACTCATCATTGGCACTTAGTTTCACCGTTAATGGCTTCGTGACGTCAAATCTCATGAACGTACGGTCAGTTAATTCGATTTGAAATCATTTTCAAGCTATAACTGCGAAATTGTTTATTTGTTTGTGACAACAAATTGTATTTTTTTGATAATAATATTTTAATGTTATTTTAAATGTATTATAAATAAACACCATGATGTTTTTTGCAGTCACGTTTTACAAATTTTTATTCAATACTATATTTAGCTAAGACATATAAATTAAAAATGTGATAATTCTTTTTAAAACATCTACGATAATCAATCAAAAAAGGTATTTCCGACAAAACTAATTTGAATGGAGAATAATCCATTTGTTGTCATTAAATTAGCCGTCAGCCGGCGCCACTGTATCCGTAGTCGACTGGCGTAAGCAGTATAGAAAAGTAAGTGATACGCCCATTTCAAATCGCAGTGTGCTTTGACTGCAAAACAGACTTAATACTTATTTTTTCTACATTAAGTCAAATATTACGTATTTTCAATGAAAATTGTTGTTTATTTTCATTAAATATAAATAAAGATAGCTCATACGTAGTAATAGTCTATTGACTATGTTCTTTAGAAAGGAACTATACCGTTAATGGGGTTTTACTATAAGTTTAATGGGCCTCCAAATATAAAAAAACCGCCAAGTGCTACCATTTAAAGGGGTCCGATTTTAAGAACATGATGAATTTGTTCCTATGGACTATGGGTGAATTCGATGTTGTTTTCGTGCATATAAATCTACAAAAAACTTGTTTAAACTTAAATTTCTATCAAAATGTCAACAAAAAATTTTTTTTGATAAAAATTATACAAACACAAGGCCAAAAACAGGAACATACGCGATTTTTCTTATTTGTCCAATAACTTCGTTCCACGTGGCTACAGATATAGGCATTACTTAACAAAAAAAAATTATCTTTTTTTGTTAATCCGACATTAGGTAGAAGTCTTCAGGATTTACGATATCTGAGATAAGATTTTTCAAAATTTGCCTACTCACACCATTTTGGGTTATTTTTCCCATATTTTATATTTTTATTTTATATTTGTTCCATATTGGACAACTTGGAGTGAGTAGTAAAGATGATTTTGATGTTTAGAGGAAGAAGAGTTCTACTGGTCTTGTCAGTGACACCTTTAGTAAAAGGTAGAAAGATTTTGGCGGCCGCCGGATCAACCCAAAATCTTAGACCCAAGACCCGCATATATAAAGAATTAACCTGCAACCAATTATAGAACCAACAAATATAACAAGAATAATTCTTCATGAAGGAACTGGGGAGGGAGGCAATAACTATGGTAAAAGGGAAGATGTCATGATAATGATGATAATCATTTGTTAAATTTAAATATGGGCATACATATTGTGTATTTTAGTTAATACAGGTAATACAGTTAATACTGAAAAAAGTATTATTCTCGTTCAGGTTGCTCGATTATCGCATTAGTTTAATCAGTTTTACGCAATAAACGTTTTACAACACTTAATTAAATTTACAATATGATTACCTTTAGTATTATAGGTACCATGTGGTCCATATGTATGGAATAAATTTATTTTTAGCGTTAATATGTACTATGTGAAAAAACCTAAAACAGGTCGATTTTTATTCTTAAATTGACAATTTACAGTATGAAAATAATATCCCCCTCCAGCACCTCCTTTGAATTATAAGCACCCCCTCGAAAATTTTAAATATTAAAGCACCTCGTTAGAAAGGGATTTTAGTCCTATGTTTAGCAATATAAAGTTTTTTGAGTTTGTGCAATCATAACAGAGAAAATTGATTTTTACAATATTAACAGTTGATGGAAATTTGACTACATTTGACGTTATACATGAAAATACTTCTTTTGGTACAGTTGTAGAAAGTGGGGAAAATGATACACCTTTAACGTTTTATAGACTGCTCCTACCAGACGAGATACTCGATATTTTAGTGAAGGAAACAAATCGATATGCTGAACAAAAAATTATTGATGCTATAAATCGTGAAAACGTTAAGACAAATTCATATCTCACTAACTGGAATGATACTAACAGAGAAGAAATATTAAAATTTTTGGGAATTTTAATATGGATGGGTTTGAATACAAAACCACGACTACGAAATTACTGGAGCACTAATTTTATCCATCATTGCTCAATATACAAGACGACAAACATGTCGAGGTGTAGATTTGAGGCTCTTCTTGCTTGCTTTCATTTTTCAGATAATGAAGCTTGTCCTGAAGGAAGCAGATTGTTCAAAGTTGAACCATTATTGCAGGCGTTCAATAGAAGTTTTCAATCTGCTTTGGTACCAGGCAAATACGTTTGCATTGATGAATCGATGATTCCCTTTAGAGGACGTCTGTCATTTTTACAGTACATACCTGGCAAACGTAATAAATATGGCGTAAAAGTTTTCAAACTCTGCGGAAATGGCGGCTACACATATCACGCAAAAATTTATGGCGGAAAGCAAAATAGACCAAAGGAACAATCACTAGCATCCCTAGTGGTCATGGAATTAATGCAACCTTTTCTACACTCAGGAAGAACTTTGGTTACGGACAATTTTTATACTAGTGTCAGTTTGGCACACAAACTAAATGATAACAATATTCATCTAGTTGGAACACTTCGTAAAAATAGGAAATACAATCCTAAGTCGGTGTTTGAAGCAAAGCTAAATAAAGGAGATATGATAGCCCTACAGAGCAACACAAAAGTTATTGTAGGAAAATGGATCGACAAAAGAGAGGTAACATTTTTGACTACAAAATCTTGTCCAGAAATGGTCGACGTTCGTACAAAATCAGGAATAAAAAGAAAACCGTCTACAATAGTAGAATATAATTCTGTTAAATTTTACATTGACGTCTCTGATCAAAAAGCTTCCTACAGTAATCCCATCAGACGTTCTATAAAATGGTATCGGAAAGTGGGAATAGAGTTACTGACAAATACAGCCATAGTGAATGCTTTAATCCTATATAACAAAGCTTTGAACACAAAAATGGATGTAACACAATTTCGCAAAGAATTAGTGACTGCCATTTGCAAAGACAATAATGTTACAAACCCTCAACAAACACACCATAGGCTGGAAGAATATGACAAAAGAGGACGATGTGTTATATGTTACAGCACACAGGCAAAATCCTTTGGTCGCGCATATGCATCTAAGAATTCCAAACAGTGCAACACTAGGTGTACTGACACTGAATGTAGAGAAAAAAAATTTATTTGTAACATTTGTTTTTTTAAAACACATAATGTATATTTAAAATAATTTGTTAAGATGTTTGCTTATGTTTTTTCGTAATAAAGTTTCATAAATAATGTGTATCAATTTCAATACATCTAGGCTATGGGTAATGACATTATGAAAAGTCGTCTACATGAACTGCGTGTATCAAAAATAAACACACCCTACAAAGCCCTTTTTAAATAAAAAAAAATGTCATTATATGAATTAAGACATACATATAGAGCATTTTATTAGAGAACATGAAAAAAAAAAGTGGCCAGACTGTGACAACTTATGCAGATAAATAGGCCCAGGAGTTAAAGTGGTAAATGAAATGTTCAACTTGGCCACTATTATTCACTTCTTGACAATAAACGAGGCGATTTTGGAATTCTCATACAAACATTTTTTATGACCTCGCTGGTTATTTTGTTAATTTCTTCCGTTATCCGCAACTTTTATATCAGAAATGTTGCCTGGTCTATTAAAATATACTTTAGAAATAATCAGGTATTTTCGTATCTGTTCTGCTAAACATTAGGGAAAAACTTTGAAGATAATAAAATAGTAGTCAAAAAGCCAAATAAATAATTGATATGAATCTAGTAGGCTGCTGTCATTTAGGTATTAAAGGTTACTAGAAGACGTGAGTACCTATAATATTTGTGCGCGTATTAAATTTAATTATCTAAATCCGAGACTAAAAGAATGGACATTTTAATTATGATAGGTTGTGGTAATAAAACAAGAGCTTAAAAGGAGGTTTGTGAAATATTAATAATGAATACCCTGGTCAATAAGTTTCGCAGTCTCCAGTTAGCACAATTGCAAAAAACTTTCGTTATACTGGACATGTAAAAAATATTGGAAAAACAGGTAGAAATATTAAATTTATTGATGAAAAAAGTTAGATGTACTTCTAGAGATTAAGGAAAATCCGCATAAGACAACTCGAGAACTTGCCGCCGTGAATGATGTAAGTAAATCCTTTATTTTGAGAGTTTTACACAAAGAAAAATACCACCCTTACAGAGTTCAGTTGGTTCAGGAGTTAAATGCAGATGATCCTGATAGACGGCAAGAATTCTGTGAAATGATGAGGGGCAGAATGAACGCAGATTTGCAGTTCATAAACAAAATAGTTTTTTTCTGATTAAGCGACGTTTTATTTAAACGGAACGGTTA